CTCCTAGATGTTCACTTACTTCATTCATCCAGCAAGTGGTTATTGGGGATCTATGTGTCCTCCATACCCTAGGTACTTTGTTGGTACTTCCTTCCTCTTCCCTTACACCAATCTTGTAAATCTTCCCCTAGAACTCACAACATCTGTATGAGAGGTAGTAACTGCCACGATCCGTTTTGTAGCAGAGGATTTTAAAGCATAGAAAATATTTACTGAACATACTGGACACGGTGGCTCATGCCTGCAATGCCAGGACTTTGGGAGGCTGAGGTGGGCAGATTATGAGATCAGGAAATCAAAACCAGCCTGGCCAAAATAGTGAAACACCGACTCTACAAAAAATACAAAAAATTAGGCGGGCTTGGTGGTGGGTGCCTGGAATCCTAGCTACTCGGGAAGCTGAGGCAGGAGAATCGCTTGAACCCAGGAGGCAGAGGTTGCAGTGAGCCGAGATCGTGCCACTACACGCCAGCCTGGGCAACAGTGTGAGGCTCCATCTCAAAACCAAACAAACAAAAAGGAAATATTTACTGAAGAAAACAAATTTAATTTTTCTTTCAATATATTCCATTTCTCTAAAGGAATTGTCTTTCTTAAATCTTCCTCAAACTGGCTGTCATTCCAAGGAATGAGGAGGTAATTTAGGGATGCTTTTGGCCTGCAGGACCTCTGCAAGAGGGAGTCTCCAGAAATGCTCTCTAGGGGGCACTAGTGAGCCAGGCACAGGAAGAAGTGGGGCCCACAGCACACAGACTGCATTAGGACATGACCAAGACCTTTCTTCAAAAGAGGGAGGTTGATCATCTGGCCCTGCTTATGGGTGGGGTGGGTCTTGATCTGTCTAATATGCTTTAAGGATGGTGAAATGCCTGCCTACCCAATACATATCCTCATCAATCTGCCTTTCGTCTCATTATTAAAGACACTCCTTTGAGTCAAATCCAAGATTTACAAAAGACTCTTAATAAAACACGTACTTAACATGAACAAGTTAACAAAATTAATTTGCTGCCCTACTTGGCCCTGAGAGATCCATTTTTTAGAAGGATTAGAGGGCAGAGACGCTGACCAGCCACTGACATGCTGCCAAGAAGCCACTGGGGATCTCGGGTTTACCAAGAAACCATGAATCAGGTGATCCAAGATTCTTTCCAGCTCATTGTCTTGCTTTATCTCTGCAACCACAACATCCTGCTTCTCCTATCTCTTACTTCTTGGTTTTGCTACCCAAGAAAAGAGAAGAGAATGGTGCAGTTGGCTTCTGGGGAATGTTCCAGAAAGATATCATGAAGATGAGAGAGAGGAGCCAGGAAAAGAAATGACAGAGCAGGCTGTAGAGAGGGCAGAGGATTCAGCCCAGTAGCTGGTGGCCCAGTCTGTGTCTGCCTCACATGCCTTTCCACCTGCAGGGCTTCCTGTGCAGTGCTCCACAGAAGCCCTGCATCCCGGAAGCACCTGGAAACTAGAGGGGAATGCCGTGAGCCTTTGGAAAATAATTCAGAACTTCAGCAGTTCTCTCCAAATTAGGCTGTAGTTTTTGCTTTTTGTCTGACAAAATGCAAATACCTCATTTTGGAAAAATGATCAGTCAGGTGAGGTAGTGAGCACCTGTAGCCCCAGGTACTCAGGAGGTTTAGCGGGGAGGATTGCTTGAGTTCAGGAGTTCCAGAAGCTTGGGACCAACCTGGGCAACATAGTGAGACCCCCAACCATCTCAAAAAAAAAAAGAAAAAAGAAAAGAAAATAATTATTATTGTTTGATGCTCCAAAGCCTCAGAACACAACATCAAGGAAACAAGAGTCTGAAGCAGGGGCACGTGCTCAGTGGCCTTAAGGGCAGGGCAGGGACCCTAACTGATTGGAGTAGCCAGGGTGGGCCCTGTGGAGCTCAGCCAGGCCCAGTGCTGAGCTCCACAGGGCCCACCCTGGCTACTTGTGCCAAAATACAGGCCTAAGGGTGCCAGATTAATATTTTATTTCTTGGGAAAAAAGTCAGATATCTAGATACTTTATGTTCTATCTCTGAATTCTTAAAAATTGGCAGCTGATTAAAAACAAAAAAATCAAAAACAAGAGATCCTTCTGCTGGCTCCCCAGCATGTGGTCAGCCTTGGCCCAGGGCAGCCTTGCTAGGTGCCTTGGTTTATAGTCTGGCGCAGCGATCTTTTGATGGACACCGCCTCATCATCTGGACAGTCAGCTGGTCATTTGGAGAAGCTATTCTCAACTCATGCCAAAGGCCTGTTTCACATGAGGCTTAGACAGACCCCACCGCCAAAAATCGTATTGGGAAGACCAAATATTTCAGATCCTATTGACCCAAACATTTTTTTTTTTTTAATGAAACGTGCTTATAAAAACAATTTTTTCAGTTGGGCGTGGTGGCTCATGCCTGTAATCCCAGCACTTTGGGAGGCTGAGGCTGGTGGATCACCTGAGGTCAGGAGTTGGAGACCAGTCTGACCAACATGGAGAAACTCCATTTCTATTAAAAATACAAAATTAGCCGGGCGTGGTGGCACATGCCTGTGATCCCAGCTACTCAGGAGGCTGAGACAGGAGAATTGCTTGAAGCCAGGAGGCAAAGGTTGCAGTGAGCGGAGATCACACCATTGCACTTCAGCCTGAGTGACAAGAGTGAAACTCTGTCTCAAAAACAACATCAACAAAAACACTTTTTTTTTTGCCTTCATCTTTGACTTCATTTATGTCTAATTTTAAAAACCAAGTTTTGTGTAAACTTAGAATGCTATTTCACTTCTCACTGTGGTTATATGTAAATCTAAAAACAAAAATCAAGCAAACAAAATACCCCTTATTTTATACCAGCCAGTCTTTAGCCTTTAATTCAGCACCAGGTATGAAATGTCAGATTTCTAAAAGAAATGACTCTTCTTTCTTTTCATCCAATTTTCTTAATTGCTAATTAAAAAAAAAATCCTCATCTCCTGGGGAGGAAGGCAGCAAATCACACTGACACATGTGTACCTATGCAACAATCTTGCATGTTCTTCACATGTACCCCAAAACCTAAAATGCAATTTAAAAAATCCTCATCTCCAACTTTTATACCCCAAAAGTTCACGAGGTATAATAGGATTATAATTTAAGGGAAAAATAAGTTATAAATATCTTCTTTTCCTCTATAATTACATAAACTATCCTTTGTTGTGTAAAACATATATTTTATGATTATATTAAATTGTGGGTTTTTAAAAACATCTCTTTGTAAATGATGATTTTAAATGTTAACATAACAATTACCAATACGTATTTGGGACTCATGATGTTATATTCGCTTTGACTGACCTTTGAACTCACATGGAATCTGTAATGTATGCACATTGCACCAGCCTCAGTCCTTCACGTGTGCTCAATATTTTTTGATTGAATAAATGAACAAATAATGGTAAGAAAGAAATGTTAAAAGGATCCTGTTTCAGAACAGATAGATGCAACTTTCCCTTTAAGAAGTTCAAGTAAATGTGGTTAATTATTGCGGTTCATGAATCTTTTAAGTGGACAAGTAAACCGTGGGGGATTACAGGAGAAACTGGCCTTCCTCATCCTTCAGTCCAATAATTCCAGTTCTACCATGCTGCATTTCTGCCTCATCAATATATCTAACTCTTAATATTTTTCATCAACTCTCATTTTAGTCTTTATATCACTACCTGGATGAAAAATTAGAATAATTAGCAGATAGAAACACCATATTATTGCGTTTTAGTTAAATAATGTTGCATTCATTCCTGGAGCCTAAAACTTGTCCTCTCTTTATTAGAAAGGGAGATTATGAAGGGTAAAAAAATAGTAAAGATGACTGGGCACGGTGGCTCACATCTGTAATCCCAGCACTTTGGGAGGCCAGGCAGGTGGATTGCTTGAGTCCAGGAGTTTGAGACCAGCTCAGGAAACATGCCAAAACTCTGTCTCTACTGAAAACACAAAAAATTAGCTGGGTAGGGTGGTGCACTTGTACTCCCAGCTACTTGGGAGGTTGAGGTGGGAGAATCACTTGAGCCTGGAAAGTCAAGGCTGCTGTGAGCCAAGATTTATCCTGGGCAAACAGAGTGAGAACCTGCCTCAATAAAATAAAATAAAGTAAAATAAAAATAAAGATTTATGCCTACCAAAATAAGATCTTTTTCTTGATAGAATCAAAAGGATTGAGGGAGAATTGAATGGGAACAGCATTCTATATTTTTGAAAGGTATAGCACATCTGTGTACCACCAGAGCTTGTCCCATATTTGAGAAATTCCAGTCTAGTCCAGCTTCCTTCTAGTCCCTTTACACATGAGCTAAGGTAGGCAAAGCAGTACAATGACTTGCTCAGTTGCAAAATGGGGCCTGTCCTCATGGACTAGTATTCTTTCCACTGCACCCTGGATCTTTGATCCCTAATCTCTCTAATTAGTTCACCTACTAAAAGATGGATGGCCGCATGAAACAAGAGAGGAAACAAGTCCTGAGATGAGCCCAGTGGAAGCGGGGAGGTGCTGAGCCTCAGAGATAGAGAACAGGGAAGTGGTGTAGGTGAGGAACCTAGAAGGCTACTGGGGAGGGGAAGATACCATCTTTTATCCTATCCCAAGTCCCTTTTACAGAAGAGGCAATTCAGAGCCAGAGAAGAGAAACGCCTTGTCCAAGTTCTTATGGCCTCTCAGTAGCAGAGAAATGCGATAGCCCCATCTTTGCCTTCCAGGCTTGCATCTGTATATGGCACCCGCCTGAATCTCCAGCTCTGACTTCCCATCACTTTGTAAAACCTAATACAGTATTCATTTCTTATAAGTATGAGGGCTATGGTATTTTGGAAAATTATTATTTCTCACATTGGCAGGAAGAATCAAAGTTTTATCCCTTCACCAGCTGCTCCCAGAGTCCTGGCTGGAGCTGATAACTTGTCTCCACCCCCATGCTGCCCAGCATAAAAAGACAGAGCACGCTGGAGTAATTCTAGTAGCTGCCACCACCCCCCCGCCCATGGTAACTCACCGCAAATCGCTTCCCACAGCCCTGGTTGCCGCAGCACCCACAGCAGTCATTGTTCTTCAGGCCCAAGAACACCAGTGCAGGGAAGATCATCTACCAGCAAGAGAAGCACCTCAGAGAGAGTCCAGGAGTTAAAGGGAGGGCCTAAGCCTGCCTGACTTTGTAAGAAGCCCCATCGATAATGAGGGACTTGGAGGCCCAAAGGGAATGGCAAAGTAACAGAGCACGGCTGGCGGGATGGTGGAGTATTATGGAGTGCTTAGGCTCCATTTGGCCAGCTTCAATGAGGCAAGATTTCAAGATCTGACTTTCCATTTAGATTGTGTGTTAGGAAAAAGAGTAAGAAACTTCAGTTGTCATGACACTGAACTGTCCTCAATTGTCATGAAAAATGAGTCTCTCTCCCTTTCTCTCTCTCAACTGGAGGTTCCCGATTCTATTGGTAAAGAAATCATTGGGTCCTAAGTGGAAGAGAACTGCTTTGACAACTGCTTTTCTTGGTGGTTTTAAGTCAATCAATTTGCTAGAAAGCATTGCAGGTTTGTTGTTGTTGTTTTGGGCACTATCTTGTTGGAATCAAGAAATTATGTGGCCTTCACTTCAGTTCGTGGACTCAAATGACACATGAGAACTGCCAGCCCAAGCTTGGAGATTAATTACTTTATCTCCAAGTAAATTTAGTTGACGTGTCCTTATCAGCTCCTAACAGAAAGGGGAAATAAATTAAGGCATTGACCTCTCATCATGCAATGCTTGGGCTTCTGTTACCAACTAAATATCTCCCCAATAGGTACCTGATTTAAAGAGGATCGGGGAGAAGGGGAAATCTCCCTTAGCGGGGATTTTAAGGCTTTCTTACTCACCAAGACACCGTTTCCTAATATTCCTCCGAAAAACCAGATCTCTTGGGAAAGGTGGTCGTTGTCATCTATCACTTTTCCTCCAGGAAAAAATAACAGGATGTTAGCCAGGAAGCCAAATAAAGCAAGGGGAATGAGGGTGCCCCCCAGGCATCTGGCACAGCCACCAGTGCACATGCTGGGGTGGTATGATACAGGTCAGCAATCAAAAGCTCCTCACTGCTGTCTTCTCGGGGCCTCTTCACGGGTTTTGGCCAGAGAGTCCTTGGAATTGTCCCCAATTCAATCAGTATTTTAGGGCTGAGAACCAAATTTCCTTGAACTGCGGCCTTGGAGTTGCTTCAGCTTCTCAAAAATAGCAGAACCTCGATGGCGATGGACATTTATACATTCTCCCTGACCTGGGAAGTGCTTTTTTTTTTTTGCACCCCCTTTAATGAGATTACGTTAAGAGCAATCATTCAATCATTTTGCCATGGAGACCAATAACCTTTGTTAATAATCCACCAGCACAGACAGGACACTCACATTGTTGCAATCGAAGACAGGGCTGGAGCAAACAGCATTTAGAACCACTGCACCTTTAATCTGACAGTGCCCATGCCCAAATAAAGAAATATTTTCCCCAGACTCTTTATAAATCACGAATATAATTGAGTTACATCCTGGTTAAAATCATGTCTCCCAAGTACTTAATGGTGTACAGTGCATGTCTTGTCTTTTCCACTGAAAGCCTGGAATACAGGGTTATCCAAGAGAGCTTCTGTTTTCCTCAACATGAAAATAATTTGATGGTCTAGTTGTGTAACGTTGAGCTCAGACTTACAAGAATTTTTTTTCTTTTGTTCTTTTTTTTTCCTTTTCCCCAGTGAACAAGAATTCTTTTAAGGAAAAAAGTAACTGTTCATTTTATTGTTTGATTGCTGTATTTATCTATTTGTTACTCAATTAAGTAATTAAGTTCTATCTTTTCCCTACACGATGTGATGGAATTAGCAAAACAGTTTTCCTAATCATGTTTTTTCAGCTATGTCTTCCATATAAGAATAAAGGAACCATCAATCACTAAGGCTAAGGGGAAAGGAAGGTTGGCATTGGGTAGAAAGGGAGAAAGAAGGTCCTAATGAGTTGACAGGCGAGAAGACACGGTTGGAAGAGCAGTTAGAGAGTGTGGGAGGCAGTAAGACACACCCCTATTGGAAAGTTTGCCAACTGCCAGGGTCATAATTCATTATTCATTTGCTCTGTGCCACATAAGAAGGTCTCTGCCACACCTAGACCAAGCCCTACATTATGCGATGGCCCTGCATGGTACTGGTATTACATAACAGCTGAAGGATTAAGAGGTGAAACAGGAAGTCTTACTAGTTCTTCATTGAGAATCTAGAGGTTAAAATAGGTCAAATATTTTAAGGAGTCGAATTTTGGCAAAATAAAAAGTAAGTGACATTACCATAGTGAGACCTGTCATACTGTGGAATAGGCCACCTGCTTACCAGGAAGCTGGGGGCAGGGCTCTGCCAAGGCTTAGAGGCCCTTGGAAAGAGAAGCTGTGGGAAGGATTCCAGAGAAGTCAGACTGGATAAATGAAGAGGCTCCTTCTAAAATTTCTACGAAATGAATACTGGTTGCTAGTAAAGATGCTTAGAAATCTCAGGGTCAGGATGAGAAAGAAAGCAGAAAAACAGCAAATGTTTATAGAGCCATGCATAATATTCCAAGCACAAATGAGCATCTTAAATGTTTCTCACCCTTCTGTGAAGAAGGTGTCACATCCTCACCCTTCACAGGTGAGGACGTTTCTGCTCAAAGAGAGTTTTGCAAGGTCATCTCAGCATAACAGGAAGAGCTAAGATTTTGTTTTTTATTTATACATACTATTTTACACATTTATGGGGTACCTGTGATACTTTGTTACATGTGTACAGTGTACAGAGATAAAGCCAGGGTATTTGGGGGTATCCATCACTGAATATTTATCATATCTATGTGCTGGGATCAGTTCAAGTCCTCTCTTCTAGCTACTTTGAAATCTATAATACATTATCACTAACCATGGTCACTTTCCTCTGAGGTCAAACAATAGAGCTTATCCCTTTGCCTAACTGTAGGTTTATACCCATTAGCCTACCTCCCTTCAACTCTGACTCTGCATTGCCAAAAACCCAGGCTATGGTCTTTCTCACAGATTTTCCCTTTCAAAAATAAACAAACAACAAAACATCATATTTTCAATATAGACAATAGAGTGACACTCTGTGTGAGGTATACGCACGCACTGGGAGACACTTCCTTCTGAACGACAAGAAATGTGATTTTATTTCTTATTACAAAATAACATATGACTTTTTTTGGTAGAAAAATTAGATATACAGACAAGCAGAAGGAAGAAAAGGAAAACCAGCTGTGTTTCCACCAGAAGCAGACAAGGACTGTCACCACTATGCTGGTAGCTGTTTTCCAACACCCCAGGCAGGGGCAAATGAGCTTTATTTATAACCCAGTGGCTTCTGACAGGGAGTCTTGAGTGTATGAACTCTAAAGAAGGCAACAGTCCTGGGGGTGAGCAGACTGGATTAGTCAAATGCACATGCCACTTACAGCTAGGCAGCTCCCCTTTGGGAACTGGGGAGCTTTTTTCTTTCTCCCTGGACTATGCCTTTTGCTTCTAGAAATTACCATCATGGCATTTAACCAATACTAGCCCTAATGTCCTAGATTTTTCAGACTGGCAACTGGAGTTACCCATCTATACTGTCTGAGTGAATAGTTGAAAGTAAGAAATATTGTGGAGTATGCTTCGGTTTTCTTTCAGGATTTTTAAAGAAAATGTTGTATATGACTAACTTTGAGGAAGAGCCTGAGGTAACTTATTTCCTGTGTAGAGGAAGAGAAACACTGAAAGACAGTCATCTTTCTGGAATGCCCTGACCACTTGAGACGTCAAACGCTTGGATAGTGACTAACTCATTAATTGTTCAACTATTAATTATGCCTTCAGACCTCTAGGCAAGAAGTGGAATCTGGAGAGAGGGAATGGCGGGAGGAAGGGAACCTTGGTGAAATTCACCCTCTGGAAGTGTAGTGGGGAAGTCACCAACAGACTGTTATAGGTGCAAAGGAAAATTATGTGAGATTCTGAGAATCATTTTTGTGATACTCCTGCTTGGTAGTTTATTGCTTACTCTGTTCCACTGGGTGTTTAGCAGTAAATACTTTAAACTAAAAAGGCTAACCCCCTTGTTTTCAGAGATAGCAAGAAGGAAGCGGCCAAGGACATTGAGCCCCATTCTGTCACTAGGCTTGGAAGGAGACCTCAGAAATGAGAGCAGATGGTAGCTCTGGAAGGGATAGAATGACAAGAGGGATCCTTGGGGGAAGAAAGGGAAAAGAATGTGAATATGGATGCTGTCTCCATGGACCTCACCCAATGGGAGGTTTGACCACATGGGATTAAGCAGCAGGAAGTCCAGAGGTTCCTTTCAGTGATGCAGGAAGTCAGTTCCTCAGCCAGCAAGCACAGGAGCAGGAGATGTTCACCCTGAAATGGGTGAAGAGCTGTCAATTCAGTGCAATGCAGTGTAATCAATAAGTGTGTTTGGTACCAATGTGCCAAGTACTGTCCTTGTGAATAAAATAAATCTAAGACTTGCTTTCTGCCCTCAATGATATTACAACCTTTTACTTGTGACAAGAGACAAGAGAACCCATACACAGAGGTTCAATGAGTAACTGCCCCTTAGCAGAAGAACAAGACATGGTTTCTTCTGCTTGTCTTAAAGCAGAGCATTCTCATCTATTCATACAGAATATCGGGAAGAAGACGGGTCTCCACACATTTGCATTCAAATAAAATTCAGGTCCTCATCTTTACTAACCTAGGTAATGAAAGTAGATTGTTAAAAGTGATTTCCCAAAGGAGGAAAAAAATAGAAAATATTAGGGCATTGCATGTAATAAGAGCCATCTTATGAAATGTTTGTTATGTATGCATGGATGTTATGTAATATCACAACATGTTTTGTTTACTATAGGTCTCCAATGAAAAAATAAAGATCAAACCAGGTAGTGAGAGTTAGTGATCTTTATAAAGTGAGAACTAGTGATCTCTATAAATGCCAAACTATATTACATGCTTTTGCCAAAAACCCTCAGGAGGCTTCCACGGCCCTCACATCTTAAATTTAGTCCTTCCTGATTTTTCTTCCAGCCAGATAAGTCCTCCTGCCTTCCTGTTTCCTCCTCTGCTCCCTTCTCCTGCTTTCCTTCTACACCCTTCCAGGACTCAGCTCAGTGGCCATTTTTCTGGAGAAGTCTTGTTTTATAAGAAAGCTCTTTCACCGTCAAGATATGTTTGGGAAATCTGAATAACACAGAGCAAAATAGGGCTCTGAATGGCAGAACTTTTTTGAATCTTTTAATTTGCAAGTGCATGTGTAATTATTGGGGAGCTGAGAAATATAGTACCCGGAATTTTCCAAGCTTCAATGCCTGCAGAACCCATCTTTTGTATCCTGTAGCTAGCAGGACTAGGATTCTCCAAAACAACCTCTGGAAAACTTGGAGCTCACTCATTTCCCAAATGCTTGTGATGGAATCCGTGTTGGCAGAGAGAAGGCAAGTGGTGACTTGAGGCAAGGCAGTATATAATGAGAGCAAAGATGGAAGACAGGATAAAGTACAATTTGGGGAAATGGTGAGGTGCCAAGGTAATGAGATTGGAGCAGCACTGAGAGCCAACCTGGCCTCCATGGACAGAGGAAAGTAAAATATCTTGCCAAGGGAAGACAGTCACTATTCTCTAAGAGCTCTGATGCTTCATGATGGACGCCTCCATGCATGCACCACTTCAACATGAGTGTTCCCTACAGCACCACAGTCCTGGGAGAGGCTACACTACTAAAAGACCACGTGGTCTGGAGAACTAGAAGACACAGGGCTCCCTCTCCCACGTCTCTGTCTTACTATCTAGAGTTGTCATTGAGCTAGTCTATAGGAGCAAGTATTTACATGACATTATTGTCCCTGTTTTAGAGATGCGGAAACAAAAACAAGTGGTAAGCATTGTTCTGGTTATTTATTTATTTTTTGAGACTGGGCCTCACTCTGTCACCCAGGCTGGAGTGAAGTGGGACAGTCACAGCTTATCAAAGCCTTGACTGCCTAAGCTCAAGCGATCCTCCTGCCTTATCCTCCTGAGGGACTACAGGCACACACCACCATGACAGGCTAATATATATATTTTTGAGACAGCATCTTGCTCTGTTGCCCAGGCTGGAGTGAAGTGGCATGATCTTGGCTCACTGCAGCCTCTGCCTCCCAGGTTCAAGCAGTTCTCATGCCTCAGTCTCCCAAGTTGCTGAGAACACAGGCGTGCACCACCACACCCAGCTAATTTTTATATTCTTAGTAGAGACAAGATTTCACCATTTTGGCCAGGCTGGTCTCAAACTGCTGGGCTCAAGCAATCCT